GTGGTGCTGAGTAATCGAGCCCAGGGCCTCATGCATGCAAGGCAAGCGCTCTACCACTGAGCTACCTTCCCAGCCCTATGTTAGTGTTCTGAGTGTGGTTTAGACATGAACACAAGGTATTCAAATATGTGTGTCCTTTAATGTTGGTGATATTGCCACCTAACCCCAAAAGAGTTCATTGGTCTAGAAGGAGCGCATGTTCTAAAGTTCAGTTTATAATAGTTATAATACCTATGAAACATGAATTACTGAGAAATATCCCAACAAGCTTGGCTGAACAACCTTATTGCCAATTATGGTCAATATTGTTATTAATATTTTGTTATTAATTTTTGCCGGTTCTGGGGCTTGAATTAAGGGCCTAAGCTATGTCCCTGAGCCTCAGTGCTCAAGGCTAGTGCTCTACCATTTGAGCCACAGTGCCACTTCTGGCTCTTTCTGTTTATGTGGTAGTGAGGAATCGAACCCAGGGCTTCATGCATGCTAGGCCAATACTCTACCAGGCACATTCCCAACCATGCCTGCTTTAATCACTAAGGTTAGGCCACTCTGCTGTTACCATTTGCAGTCCATTGGATCAAGTACTTAGTCATATTAGAGCAAGTCATTATGATAGTGGTAGGAACATATAAAATGCCAGTAAATGATGACTTAGAAATTCTTTCACAGCATTGCCATTCTTGAGAGTTTTTTATAGTTTAGATTCCTCATTAAGTGAGCATACACTCCTACTATTGCTAATGGAGCCTAAACGGGAGATTCTGAGTTCTGATGCTTAAGACAAATCTTTTTGAGTTCTGGTTCTTACTTACTGAAAGTATGAATTTCTTTTACCTGTCATATAATGTGATTATAAATATTCTGATGAGAGTATGAGTTCTTTTTAAAAAGTTATTTTTATTGTTACTATAAAGGTGTTGAACAGTGGTTAGAGTTACGTAAGTCCGGTAAAGAGTAAGTATTGGGTCTTCAGTGTTAAGTATATATTATTTTCCTTTGACTTCTGTAGATGAAGACTTGATAGGAAATTTAACTCAAGATGAAACATCTAGGCTGGAACTTGATTTTGAGGAGTGGGATGTAGCTGGCCTGCCTTGGTGGTTTTTAGGAAATTTGAGAAACAACTATACACCTAGAAGTAATGGATCAACTGATTTACAGACAAACCAGGTAAACTTCACATTTGAATGGGAACTGTGTCCTCCATTCTCTTCTGCCTTTCTCCCTCACCCCTCTGCATTGGGGTTTGAACTCAGGGCCTCATGCTTGCTTGACTTGCTTGCTCAGGTGGCATTCTTACTGCTTGAGCTATATCTCTGGTCAGGCTTTTTGCTGGCTATTTTGGAGATGGAGTCTAGCAGGACTGTCTGCATGGGATGGCCTTGAACCACTTATCCTTTAGATCTTAGCCTACTAAGTAGGATTATAGTCTTGAGTTACTTGTGCCTGACTTTTTTTTTGTCAGTTGTGGGGCTTGAACTCTGGACCTGGGCACTGTCCCTCAGCTCTTCAGCTCAAGGCAAGCGCTTGAGCCACAGTGCCACTTCCAGTCAGTTTTCTTGTGGTTTATTGGAGGTATGAGTCTCACAGACTTTCCTTCCCTGGGCAGGCTTTGAACTGTGATCCTCAGATCTCAGCCTCCTGAGTAGTTAGGATTACAGGCTTGAGCCACCAGTGCCTGGCCTAACTTCCATATTGAGCTCTCCCTGCTTAACACTTTTAGAGTTTCTGACAGTGTGTGTGTGTGTGTGTGTGTGTGTGTGTGTGTGTGTGTGTGTGTGTGTGTGATTTCTTTGGAGGTACTGAGGTTTGAACTAAGGGCCTGGCACTTCCTGGGGAGTGTTCCCCCTTTAATATAAAATCTTGATGAGTTTCTGACAGTGTGTGTGTGTGTGTGTGTGATTTCTTTGGAGGTACTGAGGTTTGAACTAAGGGCCTGGCACTTCCTGGGGAGTGTTCTATCACTTCAGCCATACCCCTTTAATATAAAGTCTTGATTTAATAAAACAAAATAAAACTTGGCTTTGCTAAACATTCTGTCCCTAGCTTTCCCATAAATTAGCCAGTTATTTCAACCAAACATCACGGTGATCCTGCTATCTTGCTTTGACATAAACCACATTGAGTTATAAAAGAACTGAGCTTTTTATTCTTGGCTTTCCTGAGCTACTTAGTGTGAATGATTCAAAAGCAAAAATGTTTGGAAACTGTCAAGGTTTGGAGTACTATTAGTATTTCTAATTTTAATTTTTTACCATCAGTAATTATTATATGGATTTTTTTTTTGTCGGGGGGGTCAGTTGTACGGCTTGAACTTGGCCTAGGCACTGTCCCTCAGATCTACCACTTGAGCCACAGCACCACTTCTGGTTTTCTAGTGGTTTATTGGAGATAAGAGTCTCTTGGCCTTTCCTGCCCTGGCTGGCTTTGAATCATGATCCTCAGATCTCAGCCTCCTGAGTAGCTAGGATTATAGGTATCAGCCAGCTTAAATATTTTATCACTGCATGTTTACAATTAATTTTTCAATGACTTTAAAAAATGAGTGGAATAAAATTTAGAGTCCTTTAGACATAGTTTGCCTCTCCTATCATTCTTTGTTGTTTACTACATGCATTCCAGACACCACACTTCTGACCCAAAATTCTTTCCTATTTCAGGCAACTTAAATTTATTCTTTACTTTCTGAGAAAGAACAAATATCTTTTCCCAAGTCCTCTTATTTCCTTTTCTTGATTTCAGACTTGTCTGAAATGTAATTTCTTTTGGGTCCCGTCATGGGGCCTGAACTCTGGGCCTGGGCGCTATCTCTCAGCTCTTCAGCTCAAGGCTAGCGCTCTACCACTTGAGCCACAGCACCACTTCCAGCTTTTTTTCTTTTTGCTTATGTGGTGCTGAGGAATTGAACCCAGGGCCTCTGGCATGCAAGGCAAGTGCTCTACCACTGAGCCAACTTCCCAGCCCCTGAAATGTAATTTCTTTAGAGAGGTTGTTCCTAGCTACCAAGCATGTCATACTCTATAGTTCCAGTGGGGTCCATTCACATTTGTAGCTGGATTTTTACAAGAAATGGCCCTGCAAAACCTCCTAATTAACATAGCCTCCTCCTAACCCTCTCTACTCCTTTATCTTAATTTGTATTCTTCATTTCACTTGTCATTTTGTAAAATCATCATTATATAATTGAATTTTTTTGTTGTTGTTGGTCATGGGGCCTGAACTCTGGGCCTGGACACTGGCCCTCAGCTCTTTAGCTCAAGGCTAACGCTCTACCACTGAGCTGCCTTCCCAGCCCTAAAAGTTATTTTTTTATTAGGATGTATTAGTTGTGCAAGGGTGGAAGGGGGGTTGTTAAAACATCTGCATACATACTGTGAACTCCAAACTCATTCCTCTTCCCACCTTCTTAAAACAGTTTTGCTGGGCACTGGTGGCTCACACCTGTAATCCAAGCCAGTCCAGGCAGAAAAATCCATGGGACTTTTAATTAACTAGCAAAAAGCCAGAAGTGGAGGTGTGGCTTAATTGTAGAACACCAGCCTGAGTTCATGCCATGAGTAGTTGCGTGCACGGGCACAGATGCTCACAGGCACACACATACGCACTCAACCCCCGCCCCCTCAACATTTTCAACAGATTTCATTGTTCTGTTTTCATATACATTGGCTACATTTATCCTCCTTTTACTTTCTGTGTTGACTTCCTTCTAGTACCTCCAACATAGCTCATTTTGTTTTCATGTTTGTGTGTGTGTGTGTGTGTGTGTGTGTGTGTGTGTATTGTGTTTTGTTGGGGCTTGAACTCTGGGCTTGGCACTGTCCAACATAGCTCATTTTGTTTTTGTGTGTGTGTGTGTGTGTGTGTGTATTGTGTTTTGTTGGGGCTTGAACTCTGTGCTTGGCACTGTCCCTGAACTCTTCAGCTCAAGGCAGGTGCTCTACCACTTGAGCTGCACAGTGCTACTTCTGGTTTTCTGGTGGTTAATTGGAGAGAAGAGTCTCATGGCCTTTCCTGCCTGGACTGGCTTTGAACTGGGATCTTCAGCTCTCAACCTCCTGAGTAGCTAGGATTACAGGCATGAGCCACCAGCATCAAGCCTGAGGTTCTTCTTTAATGTATATTAATTGTACAAAAGGGTTTCACCATGAGAATTCACATACGCATATATTTTAATTTAGATTAACTCATCTATTGCTGTCTTTCTCAGTCTCCCCACCTCCTTATTACTCATTAGCTTTCAGTGAGAGTTGTCTTATGCCATCTTCTTACACAGATATCATGGTTTGTCCTCCATCATTTTCTTTCCCTTTTAATGATTGTATTTTGTATATATATTTATTGTCTATTTACCCATAGATGAATGAAAAAAATAAGTTTCCACACACTGAAATTTGTTCAGTGATTCACATGTGGTTGGGTGTGGTTGTGTAAACTTGTAACTTTTTTTTGGTTTTTGTTTTGTTTTGTTTTTTTTTGAGTCCGGTCGTGAGGCCTGAACTCTGGGCCTGGGCACTGTCCCTCAGCTCTTCAGCTCAAGGCTAGCACTCTACCACTTGAGCCACAATGCCACTTCCGGCTTTTTTCTTTTTTCTTATGTGGTGCTGAGGAATTGAACCCAGGGTCTCATGCATGCAAGGCAAGCTCTCTACCACTGAGCCACCTTCCCAGCCCTAAACTTGTAATCTTAATATGTGGAAGGTTAAGGAAGATTATGAGTTCATGGTCCACCTGGGCGCCATAGCAAAACACTTCAGGAAGTGGCAGGGAAAAAGTTTCCATTACTGTCAATATTTCTTCAGAAAGCAGTCATCGATGATTAAAAGAAAGAATAATGTAATATTTTCTAGATTCTTGTGGAGAGGAATATTGAGGAAAATTTCTAGTTAAGCCACTGTGAGTTCTTTCAAACTCATCAGCATGTGTCTTGGAAGTTATACCTCATTTTCTGTTAAAATAGGAAATTGTCAAGTACTCTTAAATCCAGCCATTGGTTTAACCATAGTACTAGCCAAGTAGAATGAATGAATACTTACATATCTGTTGAGGAAAGATGAGATATTCTTTGGAGATAAGAATGTCAGCAATTTAAGTTTTGAGTTCATTTGTGTTTGCTGAATATTAGTGAGGAGCCACCGACTATTCATGTTCATTTTTCTCTGTTAGGATATAGGTACTGCCATTGTTTCAGACACTACAGATGATTTGTGGTTTCTAAATGAGTCAGTATCAGAACAATTAGGTGTTGAAATAAAAGTTGGAGCTGCTGATTCTGAACCAGAAGTAGGGAAAGTGAATGACAAAAAGGTACGTTCTAGAAAAATTTTGTTGATTGTATTTATGTATTTATGGTGTAATATGCTTAGTTTCTGTATCTCTTTGAACAATAAGTTGCTCACATAATTTTCTTCTTTTGCTTTTTTTTTGGTGCTGGTCCTGGGACTTGAACTCAAGGCTGGCACTTGTACCACTTGAGACACAACTCCACTTCTGACTTTTTGGTGGTTAATTGGAGATAAGGCCAGGTACAGGTGGCTCATGCCTATAATCCTAGGTACTCAAGAGGTTGAGATCTGAGGGTATTAGTTCAAAGTCAGCTCAGGCAGGAAAGTCTCTTTTATTGTATCTATTTGGACTCAAACTATTCAGAAAAACCTGGAAGTGGTGTTATGGCTCACTTTGGTAGAGTGCTAGCCTTGAGCAAAAGGAGCTCAGGGACAGCACCCAGGACCAGAGTTCAAGCCCCTGGACTGGCCAAAAAAATAAAAATAAAAAGAGTGTCTAGAAAGGTGGCTTAGTGATAGAGTGCTTGCCTCACATGCATGAGGCCCTGGGTTTGATTCCTCAGCACTACATAAGCCAAAAATGCTGGAAATAGCACTGTGGCTCTAGTGGTAGAACGTTAGCCTTGAGCTGAAGAGCTGAGGGACAGTGTCCAGGCCCAGAGGTCAGGTTCCATGACTGACCAAAACAAAAGAGAGAGAAAGAAAGAGTCTCACAGATTTTCCTGCCCAGGCTGGCTTTGAACCTTAATGGTTAGCCCCTGAGCAACTAGTATTATAAGCGTGAATCACCAGGGTCTGGCTACCTTTTAGGTTTTTTATTGTTGTTGTTGGTTTTTGTGCTAGTCCTGGGTCTTGAACTCAGGGACTGGGCAGTGTCCTTGAGATTTTGTGCTCAAGGCTAACATGCTACCACTTGAGCCACAGCGTCACTTCTGGATTTTTGGTGTTTTATTGGAGATAAGAGTCTCATAGGCTTTCTTTCCTGGGCTGGCTGTGAGCTGTGATCCTCAGATTTTAGCCTCATGAGTAGCTAGGATTATATAGGTGTGAGTTTTAAATTGAAGCTGATTTGTCTTTTTTGCTTTCAGGTAATAGCCATATCTAAGACAGATATACCTTACTAATGAGATGTCTTTACCTTCACAGGTGATTGAAGTGGTAAAAAATGATGATTTTGAGGACTCTAAGTCCTTAAATAGTGATACTGATGTAGAAGTTACCTCTGAGGTATGACTGTCCAGTTAAAGTTCTTTTGAATTGATCACGTGTTTAGTAGCGTCTTTGTGTTGAAGAATGCCATTTTCCCCATTTCTAACCACTTTTCATAGTTGCAAAAAGGTTGTTGGATTATTTAGATCTTGTTAGAGGTTTTTATTGGAATTTTGAAGGAAAGGGGAAAATTTGATCCATTCTTTCCTTACTTGGAGAAGGATGATCCAAAATGCCTCTGTGTCCCTGCCATCAAACTTTTTGGACATAACACAGTAGAGACACAGAGTTACTCAAAGTGGTCTTATGTTTCTCCGCTAAGCATCTGTATCCCAAGGATCGATAGAGCTGGAGTCTATTTAAAATTCTTGTGTCAATTAAAAAATAATTTCTTCAATATTTTCTTAAAAGAACCAAGTAAAGGTTAGTTTCCACACAGATTAATATTCATGGAGGACTATTAAAGATTTTCGGTAAGCTCTTAGGCAATAGGTGTTACCAATTGACAGTTTAAAGTCTAGATCAAAATTTATAGTTTGCTTTTCTCCTCTTATGCTATTTCCTTCCACCTTTCTTCTCTCTTTTCTTTTTTCTTTTTGGTTGGTCATGGCGCTTTTGAACTCTGGGCCTGGTCACTATCCTTGAGATCTTCACCTTAAGGCTAGTGCTCTAGCACTTTGAGCCACAGTGCCACTTCCAGTTTTCTGGTGGTTAATTGACAATAAGAGGTCCACATACTTTCCTGCCTAGGATCTTAGCGGCCTGAGTAGATAAGATTACAGGTGTGAGACAGCTGTGCCTGGCTCCTTCCACTTTTCTTTCTTGTTTTATTGTTTTTTTGGCTTGAACACTGGGCTTGGGCACTGTCCCTCAGCTCTTCAGCTCAAGGCTAGCACCCTACCACTTGAGCCACAGCACCACTTCTGGCTTTTTCCTGCTTATGTGGTACTAAGGAATTGAACCCAGGGCCTCATGCATGCAAGGCAAACACTCTACCACTGAGCCAACTTCTTAGCCCTGTTTCTGAGCTCTTGAGCTGAACACAAGTACTCTATCTCTTGAACCACAGCACCACTTCCTGTTTTGTGTTGGTTAATTGAAGTGCGATCCTCAGATCTCAGCCTCCTGAGTAAGATTATAGGGGTGAACCACTGGCACCCAGCTCCACTTTTAATGCTTCCTTCAGTTAGGTAACTGGGAGAAAAGAGGTCGGGAATTGGGTAGGAAGGAGTTTTATGTTTTGCTGCTTGGGGGGGAGAGGCATTTTTAGGTTCTCTGGTGTTAATTCCTCCCACTCTGTATTGCTGTTGACCATTGTGATAATTTATTGCAAATTACTTACCTGCCTATTCATAGCTAAGTAATAAAATGGAACATAATAGGTCCAGTAAGTGTTCTTTACTATAATGCAAATAGCTGAGATACATGTTCCCATCTTAATCAGACTTCTATGGCTGTTTGGGTAAAGAATAGCTATTATGCCAATAGATTGTATTTCATTGAATCAGGATGCTATGGAGGTTAGTAAGCTGTGTTATTTTATGTTTTATTAAAAAAATGCCAGTTAAATAGTTGTATACTGTCATATCTCAAACTTTCTTTTGTGGCTCACTGGAAAGCATTTTAGTTAAACAAATAAACATATCCCTGCCTCTCAGTATAGGCAGTTGAGTTGTGACTTCTAAACTTGAAGTGCTTGGCCTTCATTGAGAAAGAAATCAAGTTTGCATGTGTCAAATCATTGATCCAAAGTCAGGCAATTAGCCACATTAAGCATGCATGATGTGTTCTAAGTAGCTACCTTAAAATCAAGCACAGCATTTGAAATTCATTGAATATAGAGAAGTAGGAGGGAATTATTTGGCATTCAAAGGCAAAGACATTGGATTTTTAGAGAGTGTGATTTTATACAATTAGCTACATATGGTCCCAGAAGTAGTGAGAGAACATGAGTAAAACTAAATTTTTAAATCTCATGTTAGTTTTAGCTTCCTCTTCGTTAAGTTTTTAAGTTTTTATTAATTTTTAGGGGAGAAAGAACACTACCTATTTTTTATTTGTTTAGTCTTTGCTGGGCAAAGGAATAAATTATGCTTAGAAAACAAGTATAAAACTTCCACATGGTTGTAGGATTTGTTCACATCCCGGCTGAACCACTGGTGTGTAATATCTAGGCCATCACTAGTTTGGTGAAATGATAGCCTGCTGTCTCTCTTGCAGCTTACCGTGAAGTGAATATTAATTGGCTGTACTTACCTCTTTGTAGGATGAGTGGCAGTGTACTGAGTGCAAGAAATTCAACTCTCCAAGCAAGAGGTACTGTTTTCGTTGCTGGGCCTTGAGAAAGGATTGGTATTCCGATTGTTCTAAGTTAACTCATTCTTTCTCCACGTCTGATATCACTGCCATACCTGAAAAGAAGGAAAATGAAGGAATTGATGTCCCTGATTGCCGAAGAACCATTTCAGCTCCAGTTGTTAGACCTAAAGAGGGATATGTAAAAGAAGAAAATTCCAAACTTTTTAATCCCTGTAACTCAGTGGAATTCTTGGATTTGGCTCACAGTTCTGAAAGCCAAGAGACTATTTCAAGCCTGGGAAAACTATCAGATAACCTTTCTGAACACAGAACAGATATGGAAAGTATAGAGGATTGCCAGAATATCTTGAAGCCTTGTAGTTTATGTGAGAAAAGACCTCGAGATGGGAACATTATCCATGGGAAGACAAGCCATCTTACCACTTGTTTTCCATGTGCTAGAAGACTAAAGAAGACTGGAGCTTCGTGCCCTATTTGCAACAAAGAGATTCAGTTGGTTATTAAGGTTTTTATAGCATAGTTGAATCAGTTGTAGAGAAATATTGGGAGGATTAGGTCATTCATCAAACCATCAGTATTCTTGTGAGGCAGAGGCAGGAAGATTACAGGTTTTAGGTCATCTTGGTCTACATAGTGAGACTGTCTCCAAAGAAAAGTAAAGCAATCAGTATTGTGCATCTACTCCATGTGGCCTACTGTATGTGTTCATTTGCTCATGTGAACATCTGTTTTGGGTCATTTTTTGCCTCTCATATGAAATTTGAGAATATTTTAGAACTAGATATCAATCTGGGGACTATATGAACACAGTAAAATATGTAAGGCATTTCATTGTCCCTCCAAAGATGACAATTTGGGAGGAAACTTATCAGTACAAACAAAAATGCATTCATTTATTTACTTACCAGATTGTCTGAAGACTTAGTTCTTTAATTGTTCTCTACCCTACTTTACATTCTTCTGTTGTCAGAATCCAAGGTAGTTATTTAAAAAATGCTAGGGGGCTGGAAAGTTGGCTCAGTGGTAGAGCACTTGCCTTGCATGCCTGAGGCTCTGGGTTCGATTCCTCAGCACCACATAAGCAAAAAGAAAAAAAGCCGGAAGTGGCGCTGTGGCTCAAGTGGTAGAGTGCTAGCCTTGAGCTGAAGAGCTGAGGGACAGCGCCCAGGCCCAGAGTCCAGGCCCCATGACCGGACCCCAAAAAAAATAAAATAAAAAAATGCTAGGCTAACACTGAGAAAATCCTCCTGATTAAATTATGAGTGCTTTTCTAATCAATGTTGAAATGAGACCACCTGGTTCAGAGAAACTGGAACACAGGTTTATTTATTTTAATTGTTATTTCTTGGTGTGTTTTTGTTATGCTAGAGATCAAACCCAGGGCCTCCAACCTGTGCTGTGCCACTGTGTCACTCTTAGTGTTTCAGCCTTGTGTTGCTTAGACGGGCCTCTAACTCTTGATGTTCCTGCTTCAGCCTCCCAAGTAGCTGGGATTACAGGTGTGGGTCACCATCTCCTACTGAAGAAAAAGCTTTGAAATACAAGGATTTCTTCTTCACATGCCTAAGTACAATAGTTTACTTTTTTGCTAACTTACTCCTTAAATATTTTTGAGACAATTGTCTGTAATCTTTTGCACATTTAAAAACTGTAGATAGACATACCATGTGGTGTGGAGTGTTTCCTTGGAGGATTAAGCACTGCAAACGTTATAGAGCGTTCCTGTCACCCCAGTGTTCACCTTACTCCTGTTGAGCCACCCTTCAACCATAACATGGTTCTCACATAGATTAGCTTTCCATATGCACATTTTTAATTTGACATTAATTTTTTTTTCTGGCAGGGTGGGGGGTTTGAGTTCATGGCTAGGGTACCAGCTCAAGGCTAGTGCTCTACCACTTGAGCCACAGCTCCACTTATGTTTTTTTGGTGGTTAATTGGAGATAAAAGTCTCACAGACTTTCCTGCTTGGGCTGGCTTTGAACCATGATCTTCAGAACTGAGCCTTCTGAGTAGCTAAGATTATAGGCTTTTGATACCTGGCCTTTCACATCTAAGTTTTTAAAAGTTTAAGTACTTACAAAGGATAAACCAATATATTTTGTTTGTTTAAAATATTTTTTATTAAAGCCTTGGAGCTATAGATTTAGATGATTTTTAGAAAAAGTCCTGTTGTATAAGCTGGCAAAGCCTTTTCTGATTTACAAACAGATCAGCCAAATCAGACTACACTTAAGTCAGAAAATATACTCATTTTAGTTCAGTTTAATACATGAGAAGAAATAACAGAAATACACCTTTGGCACAGCTTGTTCAATGATCAGCTTTAAAAAGAGAAGGTATAGAATTCTGAACCAAGCTCTCCTTGCCTTGCCTTCTTGGTCCTTGTGGTCTTTTGGGAGTTCTCCAGGTTTTTTGGTCTCTCTCTGTCTCTGGAGTTGTTCACATCGCAAGGCAGTGGTCTACACAGTAAGATTTGGATAGGGACTAGGGTTACTATGAAAAGGGAAGTAAAGAGAAATCTTCTTTAGTTATCTTTGGCTATATCAGTTTTAGGACAAATACAGAAACTGTAGGCTTTCAAATGGAGTTCTTTATAGCGATCCCAGTCTGCTAAACTCACAGGAACATCTTGTCATAGACCCAGGGATACACGGAGGAAAATCTTCATGTGTTGTCAGGGATGTGAGTGTATAATTTTGAAAACCTGGGCTTTTCCTAGGGCTTTTGAACTTAGCAGCGTAGTCATAAGAATCACCTAGGTTTCTGGTTCAAAGTGCTCCAATCCCCTGAATACATGTTCCTGAAAGTTCTGATGCAAGTGTTGTATAGAGTATGCATTTGGAAGCCCTGTTCTAAAGGAAAGATGTTTTTTCCTTCCTGTTTTTGTAGGTACTAAAATAGCAAATCTTTTCTTTACCACAGTTAGTTTCCAGAAACAAAGTTTTCTTAAAACTACTGAGTTTCAAAAACTAATGCACTCACATAGTCAGTCCCTTTGCACAAGAAGTGAAATGAGAGGTGATGGAAGAGTTGGAACTAGGAGCAGTCTGCTGGCTAGTAAATGTTCAAGAAGTACTTGTTAACCTTCTCATACTTTGTTAGTACTTTAAAGGTGGTCCATGTGGAATTTGGGATGGCTGAAATCTTATAATAAGTGATTTATAGCCAAAATGAGACTTTAGAGAAACACTTTGAACACTTTATCCCACGAGGAGGTCTTGTGTTTCCAGTCTTGGCCAATCAGCATATACCTCTTGCTCTCTGAGAACAAGCAAAGTTCACAGAGGAACCTGAACCATTTTCTCCATTGTTGCTGCTTTCTGGAGAATGAAACATCCCTAAGGATGAGTTATTTTTTCCTAGGAAGCAAAACTAGCCTCTGGAGGAGAATGTCTGCTAGACTATGGTGAGTGCTCTGAAACTTTCTAAAGTTAATTTCCTCCCAGTTTCTCCACCATCAGTACTCTTTATAATACTTTAATAGCTTTCTTTTTTCTTTTGCTAGTCAAGTATTTTTGTAAATTATAGACTGGATTGGAAATCTGCAGTTGTATCTTATTGATTGATCCCTTAAAGTCTTTTTAAAAAAAACTTAATAATTGAATATTTTATTTACATTTTGTATATATGAAATGCTAATTTTGGTTCATCCTTAGCCCTATGGGCTACTCAGCCTTCCTCCTTTTCTGGCTTGTTCAGCTGCATTTTTCACTGCCCTCCTTTAGCACTAAGTACTTTTTGTAGAAGACTAGAAGGTATGCTTTTGGTTTTTATTTTGTAGTGTTAGGTATATGTGTTTGAGTTGAATCCATGTTTACCTGATATATTTCAAACCATCTTCTGTTTTTTCATTTTGTTCTTTTTTTTATTGTTTTTTTCTCTCTGTCCCTAAAGCAAGGCACAGTTTGTGAAGTCTTCAGAGCTTAGTAGTATAAGATAATCACCATTCATTGGTTTGTTTTATTTATTTTTATTTTTCATTTTTTGTTGGTTGTTGGGCTTGAATTGTGGGCCTGGGCACTCATTGGTTTGTTTTAATTGCAGAAACATGAGCTCTGATTTTCTGGAGGCAGTGTCAGTTTGTCCTACTTCTCAGCATGCTATCTGAGTTCAGTGTTTTCTGCAACATTATGCCATAGACTAATGAAATCTTACCACATTAGCATTGTGTTTCTTTCTTTTCTTTTTTTTTTTTTAGCATTGTGTTTCTTAGTTGTCCTTTAGATGAATACTTTTACAAATGATTTCTTGGACAAAAGTTCAGAGCAGAGGGGCTGGGAAGGTAGCTTAGTGGTACAGTGCTTGCCTTGCATGCCTGAGGCCCTGGGTTCGATTCCTCAGCACCACATAAGCAAAAAGAAAAAAGCCGGAAGTGGCGCTGTGGCTAGAGCGCTAGCCTTGAGCTGAAGAGCTGAGGGACAGCACCCAGGCCCAGAGTTCAGGCCCCACGACCGGACCCAAAACAAAACAAGACAAAACAAAAATGTTCAGAGCAGAGATGATTAATTCTTAAGGAGAAAAAACTCTAGATCACAACAAAAAATATTTCCTGTCTCATTATTAACTCATTTCCTTTCCAGTGTACTCAACAGTAATTGACATGCCTTTGTATTTAGTACTTACATCAAACTATAAATTTAGACTAAGCCTTTAAACTGGTCTGGTCATATTCACAGTCAATCTAGGGATAGCAGAGGTTTCCAGTTGTAGGCTGGAACAGTGAATAGGGTTCTAGCTAGACCAGCTTCTAAACTGCCAGTCTTCACTGCCAAGCTTAATAGAAGGTGAGTTTTATTTACAATTTATGTATGTCTAGATGTATGTTACACTGTGTGGCATGCTACTTGGCTTGAAAGAATTTATAGTTTTAAAGGTCAGCATCATTTGTAATTGTTTATGTCAATTCAGTGCAATGTTGGTTGGTTTGAAAAATATTAATAAGAATTAGGTGTTCTTGAGCTCTACTGTACTATTGTAATTAATGTTACCTTCTTGGTTTACTTTTAAAAGGAAACTTGTTAACTAGCAATTTAATCTCTTCCCCCTTCCTCCAGTTATGTGAAAGTACATGGCTTTAGATACTGTGAACCTCTTCAGTTTAGCCCATTATATGTTTAAATTATTCAGATCCATATCCTAGAGAAGAATTCAATTTGATGGTTCCTCCCTTTCATGGGTGTGTGTATGTGTTTGTGTACACACTGTCAAGACTGATGCTCCCTTTGCTAAAGATGGCTGTAGCTTCCTAACTTACTGTGTTTAGAACCTGCACTTCAAAGCTCTCCCCTGTGCCAAAAGTAAAATGTACGGTGTTTACAGATGTCTGTAATTTTTGCACACGGACATAGGGAGAGATGAGGTTACTTTGCTGGAATTTCTCAGATTTGTGACTAGGTGAGCTGCAGTTTAGCATAGGAGGGGATGAGGCCCTATGGCTAAGCTAGAAATGTATCTCATATGTAGTTCAAGTGGCTCCCTAGACTTAGTTGGGGGAATTTTTCTTGGTTGTTTTGAGGTATTCTCTCTGTTGACAGAGTGTTCCTTAATTGTCTGCCAGTGCTATCTGCTGCTTCTGTAGAAGCCACCAACCCTTTTTCTCCTGTGGGAGGATGTCCCGTAAGCCTGAGCTCTTTCTATGTAATGAACGTGCAATCCCAAGTAATACCACTATTGGCGAGTGTGTTAAATGATAGTAAACTCTCATGAACCTCCAGTGGTACCCATTTGAATGACTGCAGTGTTACAGAGGTACATCTGCAGAAGGAGGTGGCAGGTGCTTCTTGGTAGTATGTCTGAAGTCCATGATGCCGCTTCCCTTGCAGGTTGGTTCCCTTCATGTAGGGTTCTTGTGTGCTCTGGGAGCACAGCACCACTAATAGAACTCCTCATTTCTTAGGGTGGAGAGGTCAAAGATAAAAGGACCAAGGGCTTATCAGAGCATTCTCTTTCTCAGTGTGGTTGCTGTAATTTTATAAATGCTTTATTGAAAATTGACAGCTGTCATGACAGTTCAGAGCATTTAATTTGTTACCTAAAGTG